TCTTGAACATGGCACACGGTTGACTCTAAACTCAAGTGCATCCGCTGGCCATTGTGCTCCATGTAGGCATGATACATCGGCGCGACTCCGTCTTGGACTTTTGAGCTCGAGGTACAGCTAGTAGGAGCTGTCCATCGTGTTGTTCAGTTGCTCATGGAATTTTGGTTCTCCAGCATTGCAATTAAAGGACTTGCCTTCGCAAGGCGCGTTGTTCGTAGAAGGTCCGGGCGTCGCTTCGCGTCCAGAGATTGCACCGGGACAAAGGCAGTTTTGTCCAGGGCAGGGCGCGTGCGTATCCCAGATAGATCCTGGCTGATCTACGGGGAAGCCCAAGAACTCTGCGATCAGAGCACCACCCCCTTGCCTAAGGAACCTCGGCAGATCTCAGGCGCGGCGGGCAAGTTCACGGGGGGGGGGGGGGGTCGAAAAAGGAAGCGACCATCTTTGTGACAACCCCCCCACACGATAACAAAAGACGGCAGAAAGACTTGGTTGCATGTGGGGTGTGGCATGCGGGGTGTGTCTTTGCTGTCAACCATTGGGATCCCAGTCTCTTTGCGCATCCCACCCACCCAACCACCCACCAACGCACACGCATACGCACATGCACACGCACACGCACACTGCATGCACACGCACACGCCCACGCACTCGCACACGCACACTGTACGCTCACGCGCACGCACACGCACACGCACGCACACTGCACACTGCACGCGCACGCTCACCTGCACGCACACGCACACTGCACACGCGCACACTCACGCACACGCACACGCGCACGCGCACGCACGTGCACACGCACACGCACACGCACATGCACACGCACATGCGCACGCCCACGCACTCGCACACGCACACGCACACTGCACGCTGACGCGCACGCACACGCACACACGCACGCGCACACACGCACGCGCACGTGCACACGCACACGCTCACGCGCACGAGCACGCGCACGCACACGCCCACGTGCACGCACACGCACAAGCGCACGCGCATGCACACCCACAAGCACACGCACACGCACACCCACACCCACACGCGCACGCGCACGCGCACGAGCACGCGCACGCACATGCGCACAGGCACACGCACATGCACAGGCACAGGCACAGGCACACGCACACCTCGCACGGCACAGGCACTTGCACACGCACAGCACACGCACGCACGAGCACGCGCATGCGCGCATGCGCGCATGCGCGCACGCGCGCGCACGCACGCACACACACAAAAAAAGAGAGAGAAACAAACAAACAAACAAACAAACAAACAAACAAACAAACAAAGAAAAAAAAAGGAAAGAAACAACCAACCAACCAACCAACCAACCAACCAACCAACCAACCAACCAACCAACCAACCAACCAACCAACCAACCAACCAACCAACCAACCAACCAACCAACCAACCAACCAACCAACCAACCAACCAACGCATGCACGCACGCACGCGCGCGCGCGCGCGCACGCACGCACGCACGCACGCACGCACGCACGCACGCACGCACGCACGCACGCACAAACACAGACACAGACACAGACACAGACACAGACACAGACACAGACACAGACACAGACACAGACACACACGCACACACACACACACACACACCGACCCACCCGCCCACCGACGCACGCACGCACGCACGCACGCACGCACGCACGCACGCACGCACGCACGCACGCACGCACGCAGATGCACGCAGATGCAGGCACATGCCCGCACAGGCACGCAAGCACACACACACACACACACACGCACACTGTTTTGGCTCCACCTTTACAGGCGATAGATGGGATACCAACAACCTCTACTTGTGGTACTATGTGGGGGCACTGGCCATTTGCATCTTTTCCTCACCAGAACCCCTCGAAAAAAGGCACGGCATGGCTGCCCTTTCTGACGTGATGTGCTCGCCCAATGCTTGACTGGTGGACGGTTTGTAGATGGTGGCGGAAGCTGCAATTTGGTGGGATGCAAGGGATAACCACCTGGCTGAGATCAGAGGCGACTACTTTTCAGGTTTGCGGGCCGGACTGGAGAGCCCAGGGTGCAGGTGGTGGCAAAGAGCCATCAAAACGTCATTTGCCTTTGTGCTTTCACTCCCAACCGTGCGGCGACTATGGTCAGGCGCACCGGGATAAGCAACTCCGAAACGTATCGAAGCCCAGGCATTTCAGGGAATTTCTGCTGTTTCGCAAGATCTGAACAGTGACTTGGTTTGCCATTCGAGTCGACTCGTGCCGAGTCGCACGTGAGCAATGCCCCCATCCTGCACTACTACATGTACCGGGTGCAGAATGATGAGGCGGGATGCCTGGGGGAAATGGAGATTGATAGATCTATGTGGGTGTGTCTCAGAAATGGGGATCCCTTTTGGGATGGTTTCCAAATGCAGCCAAAGGGAACCACCTACCTGGACCGGTCCCGAAACACCCATATCAGCAAGGGTCAACATTTACAATCATCTGGGATGACTTGGGTCACACTCACCAAGTTTACCCTCATGCAGGTTGCTCACCAAAATCCCATGTCAGGTTTGGACACAAGAAATAAGCATGTCTCACAAAATTTCGGCCCTCAGAAAAAAAAGAAAGACAACAACTCACGCATGTCCTGTTACTGGAAGCAAGAGGTGACACCAAGGTAGGCTTAAACCTGGTGCTCCATTTCCCCAAAAGGACCTACACGCTCAGTGCAAGTCTGGGGCAAGAACTTGGATTCCCCACTTTGATAAACCCGATGCATTCCCTGCTTGAGTTCCCATTATCAAAGCTCGGTTGGGTTGGCCATTCGCGTGGCCGTTCGAGCCTTCAAGGGATCGGTCAATTTCCACTCCGCGTACGCGGATGGACATATGGCATTCCAGCAGCCAAGAGCCTTGACAACTTCATCTTGTGCCTAAAGTCAAGCGCAAGATGCGCAAGGCCAGGGCCATTGATGATATTGACCTTTCTCCTCTGGCAGGGCCGTGCCTGGATCTTCCTTTCCTCTTGATTCTTGTGGCCCAGCGTGCTTGCTGTGTATTCACGCGGGATATAGGGTGGAGCTTGTTCAAGCAGCAAACTCTTGTCGTAGCAGACCTGCAGCAGTCCTTCACCACGGATCTTTTAAGCGGGCCTGAGGGGAGTGACAAGGCCTGGAACGCGTCCTGGAAATTCGGAATGCGCGGGACTTGCAGTCACGAGGGGGTTTCTCGGGCTTGGGGCATCATCAAACTCAGGACTACTCTCCGGAGAACCAGAACATGGCCAATATTCCTGGAGCCTTGTGGCAACTTGCCTCAGGGACACCCGGGAATGTGGTGAACACTGGGAATGGAGGGGTTGCATGGTCCGCTTCTGTTCCTTAGTTGTCATGCATGGAGAGTTTGGTCCAAGGCCTTTGCAGGTAGCTGCGTAAGCCATCGTATCGCACGGCTTTCGAAGGCGTGCAGCTTGCAGAGCTGTTGAGCTTGTTAGGAGCCAGTGGTTCATTGATGGAAATGCAGGAGATACCAGACGAGGAAGAAGGAATATGGCTATGAATTTTGATGAGAGAACCCTCCCAAATGGTTGGTGAAGATAAATCCCCACCGAATTCTCATGTCCACCAATTCGAGTCCCCAGTAAAAAGTCATACCCATATTGACAACCGCAGCCACTTCCAAGGTGTGGACATCCCCTTTCAAATCGCTTGTGATTTGGATTGGCCCTCACACACCTGGAGCTTTTCGGCGTGCTGGTAGAATTGCTTCCTTGAGATTGGGCAAAGGAGCTGACGCAAGTTTCTCGCTGACCAGGAAAGTTGCTGGGGCTCGATGATGGCCAAGCACTTTCTGAGCTTCGATCAAATTCTGGTTGACTAGCAGGGGGTGTCCATTATCGAGAAAATCTTTCACTTTTGGGAACCACCCGCCACGGACACGTGAGTATTTTGCAGGCTCAAACCCTCCATCCTTGTTCGCCGGGTTCGGCAGAAAAATCCGGTTTCACATCTGAAAACATCGGCCGGCCCGAGCTGAGGTATTTGCACAACGTGGCGTGGGCAAGATTGGCTTTGTCGTTGTGGGTTGGGCAATATTTATTTAGGCAAACAACTTTTCCAAGGCATGCAGTTTGTTCAATCTCGGCAGCGCTTGTGGGTTGGCACGGGAAAAATGCCGCTTCTTACGCCAAGCCGCCGCCTGTCAGAGAGGGCAAGGACAATCTACCAGAGTTGACATGGGTTCAAGCGCCGGTTAGCCAAACGCTGGCCCTCGTAGGAACCAGAGTTCAAGCGCTCATTTGCAACCCTCAAGCTGGAGTGGGGACATTCAGGAAACGTGGCTTGCAATGAGACGGTCATTCTATCTTCGCTAGCGCCTCCCCGAGCAATTTCCACGCGTTGACTCGCGACTGCATTCAATATGGGGAGAGTGAAGAAGAAAGTAGTTGCCACGTCGCGATAGGCAGGTGGCACAGAAAGGATGAGTGAGCATTGGAGGAAAACTTGTTGAGGAATGCAGAGCTGAAGGCAGGAGAGCTCTTGCAAGATATGTGTTGAACATTGGGGCTTAAGTAGGTGTTGGGTTGGCGTCAACTTGGACATGTCCGGACTCCCCGGTTTCGAAACAAAGACTGATGTAGCTCGGAGCAAACCGAATTGTCACGTCATGTTGAATGCGGCCGAACAGCTATCCTGATTGATGTGCATGTGCTGCATGTGCTCATCTCTTCCTCACTGGGTGTGGGCATTGTCGCTTGGCTAATTGCAACACCGCTTGCAGTCCGATTTGAGCGAGCCGCCTTACTCTTGGTCGGCGTGGTTCTTTCTCAAAGAGCATTTTGTGAGGGTGGTGGATCTTCTGAAGGCAAGCCAAGCCACGATGCCGCCATGCCAAGCCACGTACCGCTGCCACTAAATTTGAGCGAGGGCTTTCTCAAAATGGCGGAGCCCTTGTTGGGGTTGCTGCTTTTTCGGGACACCAAGTGGAACCCAAACATTTGAAGGATTCAGGGAGGCTCCGGCCCGAAATGTCCGGGGGGATCCGCCAGGAAATCGTTTGGCACCACTGGCTGCGGTCGGGCAGCCCAGCGAGTTGCGGCCGAGCAGAGATAAATGGTTTCTGGTTGGCGCACAAAGACCCACCGATGGACATTGGAAGCTGAGGTGAAGTAAGGGAACGTATCCAGATTGATTTCTTTTTCATGGTTCTGGGCAGAGTCTGTTTAATACCAGGCTTTGGTACCTCAAAAAATTGTCCCATGTATCCCCGGCTAGAGGATGCGGAAATGCAAATCTAAATGATTCGGTGCTTTCGTTGTGAATTCTTTCTGCCCCTCCAAGCGAACTTCCAGGGCCAACTGTGTTTTTTGATGGCTGAGCACAAGCAACTTTTGTCCACACTCCATGATCAATCTCTGGTGCGAAGCTGCATGCAAATTTGGGGATACTCGCAACAATGGTCCACGTGGACTGTAGATCAGCCCCCAACTGCCAGATACTCTGTTGGTTTCCCTTGTGGCATCCCCTGAACCAACCTGAAAAGGGTGCCTTCAAGAATAAATTAAGTCATGACCATGATAAAGTAAAGTTCGTAATTGTCCAGCCCCTTGTACCACTTCTCCAAGAACACTTTATCAAAAGCGCAAAGGACAGATCCCTGCTAAGAATAGCGCTTCCATTCGCGATGTTCGTGCGAACGAGTTCCTCGCCCTCCACATGCGGATCTTGGGCGACCTACGTCCCACGGGAAGCTTTGATCATGGGGGCTGGGGGGAGGGAGGGGGGGGGGAGGGAGCCCAAATAAGCCCTTGTTGGGGCTTATGAGGGCTTAATAAGGGCTTATTTGGGCTCCCCCTCCCTCCCCCCCAGCCCCCATGATTTGAGGTTCCAAACCGTCTCTCAACTTTGGACATGTCGAGTGATCCAACTCTTGAACTCCCACCGGCCCCGCCTTTTTTCAGCTTGCGCTCTCCTCCTCCTCCTCCTCCGCGGCCCCTGCGCAGCGCCGCAAAACCGCCAGAGAGCCACCGGAAAACCGCAAGTGTTGGTCCTTGGTTCCATTACCCTGGTTTCATTTTGGGGTTGCCAACTATTTTTGCCCACTGCCAACTGCTTCCTTGGGTTAAAGGCACTCGCCGCTTTCTTTGCGCTGCATTCGGCGCGGGGGGCCGAGGGCGGGCACCTTCGCGAACACCCCGAAGACGCGGCTGGAGCGCTACCTGGTCTTCAGCCGCGCCTCGCAGGAGCTCTTCGCCCGGGGCGCCTCGGAAGAACTTGGAACTCGGCACTCGGCGGGTCCGGTGCCACGTTGCCACGGAAACGCCACGCGGGCGGTTTGGGACGAAACCCGGAGGGTGGAGAAATCCATAAATCGCACCTGTTGAGAAACCCAGGGTTTGGGGTTTAGGGTTTAGATTCCCCGGTAGAATGCCAAGAGACAAAGATTTCAATGGTTTCAAAGTGGTCAACTCCCAGTGGGAACATGGACTTCGATATAGTATCTGCTTTGACTTTTTCGGTGAGTTTGGAAGGCAAGGCAAGGCCTCATGTCAACAACTTACACATGCATAATCTCTGGCGAACAGACGAAGGATGGTCCTCGGTCCCACCCAGTTTTCTCCAATTCATAGACAGAGATGTCTCGGATGCTTGTTGTGCCCTCCCACCCTGCACAGAGTAGGGGAATGGAAAGCCTTGCCCTTGGCCTCTCGTTCCAGTCCTATTACGGGCCATCTCCGAGGCATGCCGTTGCCAAGTGGAGGGATGGAGACCCTCCTTTTGGAGCAATGCAGGTTTCTCTCCAGGCTGTCATGGACTTTCTTGTGCATATTTCGAATCGCGCTGAGCACACGCCAACATTGAAGAGGGTAGCACTTTGGAAGAAAAGCTCTTTTGGCTCCAAAGGGATCATGCATGTGATTTGGTTGACTCCGGGAAAACATGTTTGGACTGGAAGGGCAGGTGTGTCGGTACCGAACCAGCTTCGGAGGAATAGGCAGTAGGGGGTGGTCATCCATTGCTCTTGGAGCCTTCCCTTGGCAACCAACCTATCCAAGGGTTTATAGCAGGGTTCACATATTCACATGGCTGTGGGTCAAAACCAATGGTACCATGTGGGGTAGGTGCACCACCCATTTTAGTCTGTTTTAGTGATGATTGGGATGTTCACTGGGATTTTGACCCATGGCCACATGGTACATTCAATTTTGCTTCTTGGAGCATACCCTTAAGGTCCAAATCCCGAGCCATCCCAGAGGGACGGCCTTCGATTCTTTTCCGAGGCATGAACTTCGGGGTGCCGGCCTGAGCTCGCCGTTTGACGGGACGTGAACAGACGCCACACGGTAGACAGATACACAGACCATCTTTTTTGTTCCCATGCTGTGGTTGGGACACCAAAAGAGGGCAAAAGCCCAAAAGCGGCATCCGACAGGAACACTAGGCCCTAATTGGCCTTGTTGACTATTTGCCCCTATTGTTACTGGGGCCCTGTTGATAACCATGGGACATGCGTATTCCTCTGGGTGTGTGTCTTTTTTGAGGCTACCCTTGTTGGTCCCGAGCCGAAGGGACACCACCATTTTCTTTTGGGGGGGTTGTTTGAAAGGGACAACGCCATATGTACAATTCTTCCCCAGAATTAGCTCCCCCTTTTCTTTTCTTTTTTTTTGCCGGGGGGGGGGGGGGTTTGGGGTCCGTTTCTTTTCCACTCACCAGGCAAAATATTTTTTTTGCTGGGGTCCTAATTCCAGCCTGGACTTGTGTAGAGATCTTTGCGAACGGAAAAATAACAGACGGCAGGGAGCTATGGCTCGATTTCGCTGAGGGAAGCCTGTTCCAGTGAATGGGCAAGGAAGACTCCCTTTAAAGGGGTCATTCTCTACACTGTTTTGGTGGGACCATCAAAGTCATAGTTTGAGTTCACTCTACTTGGGTGACTTTGACTATGAAAATGGGAGTAGTCTGTGAAGACAATCTGGCTGTGCCTCAGACATAGGAATCAATACCTGCAATCAGGATGGTCACAATGCAAGGATCAGGAACTGTGCCCCCGTCCGGAACAAATGACATTATTGGAACCCAGATTAATAAACCCTTGGCCTGGTTTGCTGGAAACACCAAGTTTTATCCACCAGGTTCTCTCTCTCTCTCTCTCTCTCTCTCTCTCTCTCTCTCTCTCTCTCTCTCTCTCTCTCTGGGCGCGGAGCGTCTGAGCGCATTGCTTTTCATGCAAGCACAACCGAAACACATGCAAACACAAACGACCAGCAAACACATGCAATAATCACAAGACCACGACCCTGAAAATCAGGCTGTAGCTGCAATTCTAGTCTGCATCAAGTGGCACATCAAAGCACCCGCGGTTCATCGGGGGTGGCAAGGAAAGGTGGTTTCCTCACCTGCCTGCCGTTTGCCAAGCATTTTCACGAGGTGCTGAAACAAGCGGGTGCCCGATACCTCGCAAAGTCAAGGCACATGAAACGCAGTCTTGCGGCTTCCATTTGCTTAAGACTATTTTATATGTTCCCTTGTTGGTTTTACAGGGAATCTATCACTGGATTTTGTTTCCAGGGGCTGAAGCAACTGCGAGGTGGCCATGTGTCGGATAGGCGTGATGCGTTCAACATCACCCGGGTTTTGCTGTGCGCATGCAACAGGAAACCTTGCGGTTTTGGGAAAACGAGCCTGTGGATTCCCTCCAGACGATTCCTTCATGGTCTTTGGCCCAAGAGCGAATCCTTCGTGTAAGGACCTGAGGGGAAACAAATGGCTGTGGCTCAAAAAATGGCACCCAAGAATGGCCCCTTGGTAAATGGAAACAAAGATCAAAACCTGCGTAACCCTGACTCTTTGATGTTGAGCCACAGCCAAATGGCTTTTCCATTAAAATGAACCCAGAAACGCCCATCGCCGCGGCTCAGACTGAAGGGAAAGCATCCAACGGCGCGAACCTGGATCTCAACGAAATCAGAATGATCCAAGAATCTGGTGGGATTTTTCCTGCAACGTTTGGAGAGGCAAGGGGATTTTTCTTCGAGAAACCTGAACAACGTAAGGGAATCTGAGTTTTTTCCAACGTTTGGAGAGGGGAAATGTTCGAGAAACCTGGAGGTAAGGAGGGCAGAGATCTTTTTCTCGGTTCGGCTCAGGTGGTGAACGCCTATGACCTGGGCAAGTGTACTGGGCCCTACAAGTGCCAGGGGGCTCAGGGCCGCCAACCGCCCGGCCGGTGCGGATCGCAAGGGGAAAAGCGGCCCAGAGCAATTTTTAAACGTGTTTTTTTCTTCTTCTTTTTTTTACATTATTTGGACTATTTATCGAGTATAGTAAACAATAGACATATGAAACTCAACAAATATGTTGTGATGAAAAAAACACATATTTATTGAGTTTATAAAATATAGGACTATTTATCCAGTATATTAGACTCAAAGAAGGAACATCTGATAAGAGCTTTATATGGTGGATTCTGGAATGGCAGCACACGTGACTCAATTTCTCAATGACCGATTTGTTGTGTATGGGGGCATTGGGGAGACTGGGAGTTGCCGGGCTGCTTTTGCGATGTTTCCATGAAGCCAACGCCACGACTCAACCCGCAAACTCAGAGAGAAACCCCCAAGACCCGCATTTTTCCCCCAAACGTCTCCTTTTCAAGCCACTCCCAAAAGGTGACCCTCGAGACCACACACACACACACCCTGTCGGCGAATGAACACGAGAGGGGTAAGGTGGAAATTCTAGAGCAACAAACATTCTCGGCTGAGTGAAATCATTTCTTTTGTTTTGTGGGGGGGGGGGTTCAGCTATCCCAACATGTTTTCTGGTCCAAAGAGGGGAACAAGAATGGTTTGGTGTGACTACTTGCCCTTTTCCAACAGAAGGTTTCCCCAAAAGGAAGGTATTGCCCCACAAACCGGGTGTGTCTCCATTTTCAGGGGTTTCACTTGTGTGTGTGTGTGTGTGTGTGTGTCTGTGTGTGTGCGTGCGTTTTTGGAGGGTACCTTTTTCAGGGTGGTTTGTGAGAAACCGGCAGGAAAACCGCCATGTTGGGGGCTCCCCGATTCGGACACATGCTCATTTCAAGCCGTCTATGTTTGGGAGCTCCGCGGTTTTGTTGGCCAGGCGAGAACCTGCAGGAGTACGGGCCAGTGGTGGGTTGTGCACCTCGGCTCAAGAGGCCTCGGGGTTTCGAGCCGTAGGGCTAACGCCCCCATTCTTTCTCCAGGGATCCGTCTTTCTGGAAAACCAGCCAAAACTCCGGGGGAAGTGCCGATCGGTGTTTGAAAGGAACGATGGCTGGAAAGAATGGGCAAGGAATCAGCTCCTAGAGCCATGAGACATTTCAAGCAATCTGGTGCTCCCACTGGAATTACTCAGCAAAGCAAAAGTCTGAAGGGGGGTGTTGATAAGAAACCTATGACTCAACGGTCTCAACTATGTGTCAGGTTCTTGAGGACTCGCCCTAGTTGGTTTTGGCGCTCGTTTGGTCTTCTTGTAGTTGTCCTTTTCTGTTGCCCGGTGTGGCTTTTTGATTTCTTCTTGGCACTTTGCTGTTTAGCGCTTGGCGTCCCCCAAACAGGCGCGGGACAAGGCCGTGCTGACCCGACAACTGAACCTCAATGAATCTTGAGTCTAAAAAAACGGTGCACCTTGAAAAGCAACAAACCACATCCGTCTGCCCACGCAGCTGTGGATTGGTTAATCTCAATCTAGCATGGAGAGTCTTGGTAGCTCGTATCTCCAGCTTCTTGCAGGCTATCTCCAGCTTCTGTCATTTTAGGGCGACGCCGTGAGATCCATCTGAAGAGTCTTTGGATTCTCCTTGCAGCTTGGATGTGTCATGTACAAGGGGAATTTTTGGCAGGCTTGCACGTGAGCCACTTTGTGATTGCATCGTTGTCCATCAGCTCCGGTTCGAGCACCGGATCGATCCTCCACGGCCTTATGTCAAGACCCGACGTGTCTCTAGGTTTGATGACTTGGACTCTGCGCAAAACAAAAAGAAGCATGTGGCTGTCGGTCAAAAGCAATGGGATCTCATTTTGGTTGGCAGGTGAATTCACCGCCTATTTTAGTCGGGATTGGGATGTTCACTGGGGGTACGGGCTTTTGACCCATGGCCATGTCACTAGTCGTGCTTTGCTTTGATGTACTACAAGCTCCCAAAAAAGAATCAAACGGGGTTGTGGGGTGCTATTGGATCAAATTACCTGTTGAGGAGGGAATATGCGTATTCGTTTAGCTCTCTCCCACTCCAAGTTGGACTTCTTGCCTGCACAACTGCAAGTTCGGATGTCAGGCATTTGTCTGCGCGTGTCCGACCCCCGAGAGTGGCGAGACAAGTGGCGTTGCGGAGTTGCGTCGCACTGAGGAATCCTGGGACCCCGAGATGAACAACAACTTCCCGCATGGCCAGTGGGTGGGCAAGAACGTCTATCCCAAGGCATCCACCTCAGTGTGTGTGTGTGTGACCTGTGTGCACGTACGCCTCGGAGAAAAACCAAAAAGCAAAAAACAACATGGCAATTTTGGGGAATCTGTCTGCTTTTCGGCTGCTTGGAGTTGGGGGGGGGCGCAACCCAACTTTTGACTCGGGCGTGGGGTCCGGGCGCGGATGGGCGCCGATCGGCGCCAACGGTTCGATCGCTCGCCGAGGCCGCGTGGTACAGCCTGCCGGGGAAGCGCCTCGGCATGCCACAACCACCGCGCGGCAGGTGGCTGTGGGACCAAAACGAGTTGGGTAAGCCCCAAATGGCCTTGCCCTGGTAAATGGCATGGAAACCTGGTAAATGGAAACCTGCGGTCCGATTCCTGGTGGTTTAACTTTGTCCCATACTCTCACCTGTGAAAGTCGTTGCGTTTGGTTTTGGCAGCATGTTTTTCGTGTAATACGCACACGAAGCGCATCCGGTAGGGTCGTTGCAACTCCGTGTGCCAGTGGCGTTTGGTTTAGCATGTTTTCAAGAGACAATTGCTGCGTGATATTGAGGTCATTTTTGTAGAGAAATACATGCTGAACGTGGTCCCCTGAGATGGTTTCATTGATCAAGTTGAGGTCTTTTGGGTAGGCCGAACGCACTGGCACACATGGAAAACACCTTCCCTCGATCGCGGTTTGTGTTGGTGATGTTGAGGCATTTTGGGTGGCCAATCGCATTGGCACACGCCTGAAAAAACACTTACTGGGTCCTTGTGGTTACACGCCCCGCAAGCCATGATCTCGCGCCGCAAGCAGTGTGCCAGTGGGGAAAGCTATTTAGGGTCATGATCATGCTGTCTTTTATGATGTGTGGCATGAAGCCATTTTGAATCAAATCGCATGGGTACACTCGTTTCACTTAGATGTTGCTGACGATGCAAGTGCTACCCCAGCCCCCCACCGTACACAAAGCCAAGTGTCTGGTGTGCCATGGGGGACCGGATACTTTGAGGAGTGTTTGGTGAAGGGGCGCTGTTGCACGTTGAGGCCCACTCCCGTCACAAAACGCAATGGCACACTGCCTCCGGCCAAGATAATGAAAAGATTCAGTCAACTAACACATGGGAGTCTGGTTCCTTGTGTTGTTCAGCTGTGTGCCAGTAGGATTCGAGGTGATAGAAGTTGCAGGCTTAGATGTTGCTGGCGACGCAAGTGCTACCCCAGCCCCCCACTGTACACAAAGCCAAGTGTCTGGTGTGCCATGGGGAGGCGGATACTTTGAGGAGTGTTTGGCGAAGGTGCGCTGTTGAATGTTGAGGCCCACTCCCATCACAAAACGCAATGGCACACTGCCTCTGGCCAAGATAATGAGAAGGTTCAGTCAACTAACACATGAATCGCATTGGCACACGCAGTCATCCTCAACAAGTGCTTGTAATACGTGCCATGCATACATAGTCAAGCATACATAGTCAAGCAACATTTCAGTCCCAACTAGTATGTGATGTGCCATGCTGGTTGCCTTCTTACTCATACTTAAACATGTATGCTTAAAATGCGATTAAGCGGCTTGTAATATGCGATGTGCCATGGGGATCGCGTCCGTAGTGGCGCTCAGACAAAACAGTCTTAGGAGACACATTGCGGTTGATTATGCAATGTGCCATGGGGGTTGCCTTCACTTCTGTGCTTCGAATAGATGTTTTCAAGATGCATTTGGTTGCCTTTGGGTATGCATGTGCCATGGGGATTGCCTTCATACTAGCGCAAGAACTTGTTTTTGCAAAAATTGTTTCGGTGTTGTTGAGCATGCGATGTGCCATGGGGATTGCCTTCTTTTTGGCGTGCAAACACACATAGTCAAGCAACATCTTGGTCCCAACTGGTATGCGATGTGCCATGGGGATTGCCTTCTTACTCGTACTTAAACGTGTATGCTTAAAATGCGTTTAAGTGCTTTGTAATATGCGATGTGCCATGGGGATTGCGTCCGTAGTGGTACTCAAACAAATCAGTTTTAGGAGACACTTGGGCGCCGTGTGCCAGTGGGGAAGGCTCAGTTGCAAGGACCCTGCCGGGACTATCCGTGGCGTTGTTTTTACTGGCAGGCTGCGGACGTTCGAGCAAAACACGAAAAATGCAAGGACTTTCGCGGTTGGGTGTACCTATGTCAACCTATCCGCAATTTGCAATGCCTGTTATTGTTTGGTCCAAGGTGCTTGGTGTCATTTGCAATTGACAGCACTTCTGGCGGCCTGTTATCCTCCCAATTGTTCCTTCAAGGGAGCAGCTCAGTTTTTCGTGGATTTGGTGGTTTACATACTTGTAGCTCCGACCCCCTTTTTGATTCATCAGATTTGCACGAGCGGGGCCCAACATAGGGGGGATGCTTTTCTTGAGGGCACCCTTTTTAGGGTTGGCTTAAGCGCAGTTTTGGGGGGTCAGCACGGCTGGACTGGACAGGGAGCTTAAGCTCGTAGCAAGGCAAGAAGTTGGCGGCCGCTCCCGAATACCCCCAACTCAATCTGTAGATGCTGTGGGTGGACAAAATTCTGGACTATAGGGGTTCATCCATCCCAACTGGACGTTGTTCACCCACAGTACCACAGGCACTTCTCCGGCTCACCTCACTTCGTTCCACTCCCCTCGCAGGAAACTAGGCGGGCACTGGCGGTAGAAGTTGTAAGGCTCCCCTGTTTTGGACGCATACCCACTTTCGAGGCTTGTGTTCGCCGTTGTCGGGACACTTCAACACGTGGTTCCATTTTCCCTTTGAAACCACCAAAAAAGGGTACCTTCAAGTCAAGCCCATCATTGCCCATGACTTTTGAGCTGTTTGCCTTGTTTGCCTTTGTTCTCCTTCATTTTCCCTTTCAACTTTCAAGCTCACTTTTTCAGGGTCCTCGCAAACCCAACATTCACCTGATCCAGAAAAATAAATAAAAGAAAACAGTCAGCCAAATAAACAAACACGCCTGGTGGGGACATCTGCTGTTGTCGATCCGCGGTCTCCGGCTGTCCGCTGCGGTCGGAGGCCGACCCGGATGGACCGACTCGGTTCTTGCCCTCGAGGTGTAGCTCCAAGAAGTTTTGGGACCAGCAGGGAGACTGCGTGAACAACGAGCCTTCTGGAGCCTGCCCTCTCGGTGTGGTGCCTACAGGCCCGGGACGCCCGGAACGCACAGCTGTGAAACATCCCTACCCATATAGGTGCATATATATATATATATTTATGGCATATCTGTATGGGAGTGGTCCCTTTGTTTTTTCTCCTTCTGGGGAACTCCTTATATATATATATATGTTACACGTGTGTGTGTGTGTGTGTCGTTGTTGGAGTTGTAAGCGCGAGTTCATTCACCCATGAGAAATGCACCCATATGTGGTTGGGGGCTACCACTTTTTGAAGGGGCCTGTAATGCGTTTGCTCCTTTGGTAACGAGATTGTCATGTAAGGGGTAAACCTTCTGATCGGCAAAGCACGTTTTCGCGAGCCATCCAGCGTCTAGCCTGGTCTTTGCTCTATGAGCATAGACAGTTTTCGGCTCAGGAGCGATATGAATAGTATGAGAGACTCAGAAAAAAGGCAAACGAAGAGCGCTATCTTGCATTGCTTCATAGCTCTCCCTTTGCCTGTGGACTGGGTTGACGCTACTCCTCTTTGTTGAGTGGGACCATGATGCCTCAATCAGTCGTTTCCCCTTCCAAAGGATGCAGCCGGACACGCTTCTCCAGAGTCAAAAGAAGAACTTGGAAGATTTCAAGAAGTTGGACACCCAGCAACTGGACACAGCCACTAGCATAGGTCAACCCACTTGGCGGGCATTCATGGCACTTGTGTTTATCCATCATTCGGGGCCGTCACAGTGGGCGCTCCTCGATGTTTGCCCATTCTGTGAAGGCCTATCCTGGTCTGAGTCTTGGGTAGCGCTTGAACTAAGCTATTGTCCTCCAAGCAGGATCCACCGGTGACCCCTGGAGAAGAGCCAAGAGCCTCAAAAGCATCACCCAAAATCGCGGCATCCTTTTGGACCACCATGATCGCACGCCCCTTTTAATGCTTACAGTGAACAAATGTCGTGTGTTTTTTGTGGTGTTTGCGGGAAGCCAAGAGGGAAGCCACAAGTTCAAAGGGGCTAGCTTTACTAGGTCCTCCAGTAGAGCCCTTCTTAACCCCGTTTTTGGTTGGGAGGGTTCCCCTACTAAAATAGACTTCCTGAAAAAAGTTGGGTATACCTATTCTAACCTCTCTGCTGGAGAACCTAGTTTAGGTGAATGGACCTGCACCTACACCTACCAGAAGGTCGGCGAGCTGAAGATCAGCCGCTTCGGAAGCCATGAGTCGGTCTTCCCTTGAATGTCAGGTACCCCTCTAGGGGTTGATTCCTTGTCCATTCTTTTTAACCATCGTTCTGGTCAAACACCAGCTGTTTTCCCAGGGTTTTTTGGTGGTTTTCTAGAAAGAAGGACCCCTGGAAAGAACGGGGAAGGTAGCACTAGAATGATGAATGTCAGGTATCCCGGCTGTGGTTGAAATGGAATCCACGAATCCACGAATCTGTGATACAACAAAACGGGCCTCCCAAAGACTAACCCCCATAGAAAGAGGGGAATTTCTTGCATGGAAGTGGGGGATACACCCTTGATCCCACAACCCTGGCAATCCCTAGTTGGTTGTTTGGATTGTTGGTTGGACTTGGATTTGAACGGGTCCCTGGTTCTTGTGGGAAAATGGGAACCATAACTGTCAACGGGTCCCGGAATATTTTCAGAGGGGGGTGGCGGCCCCTTCGAAAGTGGTATGATTCCCCACATTTTTACCTAGGGACACCCCGCTATGAATAAAACTGGGGTTGAGTAATATGGGGTCCCAATAGGTTGGTTAATGTGGCTGATTAATATGGTTGATTGGTATAGTTGATTGTTGGTTTGGATTTGGATTTGAACTCTGATTCTCGTGGGATGGGAAGCCCACCCCGGGGTCTTCCACCAAGCCACCAATCCAAGCCGCCAGCTTCGTGGGAAGCGGTTTGCTGAGAATGATTCGAAAGATCACGTCCCGGGATTCGTCAACCAGTTGGTGCATTTTGCCAAGGGATGTTAGGACTGTAACTTTTTGCCAACCAATGGGTTTTCCGTATTAAACCACCAAAAACAATGTTAGTCACTTGTAGGAGGGGGAGCAGATTTCGCAACCGAGATTTGGGGGTGTTCCGAAGCAACGGTTCCCCTCGATGGGTCGGACACACATGGCTAATTTCTCTTTCTCCCATACGCTCGGAGCTTCAGTTTCAATGGACAGCCGAGGGATGTTTCGCACGCGCCTTGGACCCCTGATCGCAACACCCGGGGCTCCAACCATTGAAGCAATAGGCGTTTGTATTGCCCATTGGTGTCCTTTTTGGTTGTTTGGTAGAAAAATAGGTGGCGATTCCTGGTTTACCTGGTGGGTTCATCATCTACCAGGATAACCCATCTATTTCCCCTAAAAGGACACCTATGGTATTGCCACTTGTCTAAGGAGCTAGAGAAAGAGGAGTCTCTTTGGGAAAGCCGAGCCCGAAGCCAGCGTAGGTCCCGAGCGACGCAAAGCGAAATGCAGAGATGTCCCGGGGGTGGGCCTTCGGGGAAGGCAATAAGAGTCGCCTTGTCACATTCAGGGGTATCCAAACCCCATGGGAGTCGAAGGCAAGCTCTGTTTCCAGTGTGGAATGCCGCATTGGGGAGATGTGCAGAGCGGCTTCCTCGCTTTTTCCTTCTAAAGCGCTGACGCACCCACCAAAGGATCCCAAAGAAGAGGGACTCCAGTCAGTTTCCAAGTGGATCAGGGTTGCTCCGACCCAAACAATGATCAAACCACGAGAAGATCGTTGGCATGGTGTCCTGATGGAAAGGAAATACCGTGGTTACAAAGTTTGCAAATCGCACCAGTTGGCATTGGTGGTTTATCAACCATTTTCATAGGGCTTCATCCGTCCCACTGAGTAACTGGTGCCGTTGTGTGTATTAGTCAACAAGGGATTGCTGGACATGGACACAAGGAACTCCGACATCTCGAGGGGACCATCCCCTCGGATGAGTTTGGAGTTTGTTCGCTGAGGCGAGATCGAGAACATCACAAGCTTCGAGACTCTCATTGAGGGCCGCGGTCTCAGGGTCTCAGGTCGGCTGAGAGGTGAGCTGGGGTGTTCAGTCGGGTTTAGAAATTGGCTTTGAGTTAGCACGCAAAACACCCATGCCATTGGTGATGAACAACCATGGGTTGTGGAATGAACATCCTAGAAGTTTTGTTTAGAGCAACTGCTTGATGCATCTTGGATGAATTAAACAAACACTCCTGGTACAACTGGTTTCTAGAAACGCCGCTTGCACAGCAAGTCCAACTCTACGGTCAAAAAAGCACATGTCGCCAAGTGCAGACCTTCCGGCGGCTAGTTGCCGCAGAAGCTTTGAAGCTTCCGCTTCCCTTGGCTTGCCCGTCAAGCCTGCAAGCTCCCAACATATCTGAGCCCAGAGTCACTTTAGACTTTAATTTTTTGGGAAATTTGGGGGTTTTCCATTAAACCCAAAAAAGGTAAACACTTTTTGCAGAAGGGTCAACAGCAACCAAGCGAAGCTTTGAAGTGGCTCGAAAGCTATGACTTACGACCATGTCTTTGTGGAGGGTGTTTTGGAGGGCAGCCTTCAGAATTGCGAAAGGGGAGCCTCTTGGTCTTGGATCACAGAATTGGTCGGTCGATTTGGAGGAGTCCTGAAGCATAGGATTCTGTTACGCCTCTGGGAACTGCCTTTTGCCATCGACCCTCAGACCCGCACGTGGCGTGTGCTTTTTGTGTTACTAAGACAATCAGCTCCTTTTCCCATGACCGCCGCTTTTTTAGGCTGGTTGTATATTCAATGCGTCGAAGTCCGTTGTGTGACCTGCATGTTCCGATTGCTTCATCGGTTTGACTCAACAACTCCACCACTGAGCTTTTTGACCTGCGCCATATGTTTGTTGACCGCTCTCTCGTGAAATAATTTGTTTTTCTCCGCAGCTATGAGGTGGAGGTCGCGAGTACGACAAGAAAACGGACAAGGGGGTGCACCTGCACTTCTGGGCATCTCGAATCGAAGAGGTGAAAGAGGGGAGGGAGGGGGGTGCGTTGCTTTCTGAGGCTAGGCCCCCCAGTAGTGCCCTTCTTAACCCCTTTTTTGGTGGGGAGGGTTCCCCTACTAAAATAGACTACAGAAAAAAGGATACCCTTATTCTAACCTCTCTACTGGAGGACCTAGGAGGCGCTGAATGTTGGCAGACCAGGGATTTTTGCGGCCAACGGAGGCGAACCTAGAACCCAGCATTCTTTCTGCTGTATCACAGCCACACAAGTGCGGTTTTCAAGGGGAATAATAAGTTCGCCTTGGGCTGGCGCTCGCGTGATTAGCGCGGCATGGGTGCGTAGGTCCTGTTGGTTTAATCGACCCCTTCAAGATTGGGGGTGTCTTTTTTTGAGGGCACTCCATATTTGTGGACATTACTGGAGATCCAAAAGGAAAACCCACACATTTTGGCCCTCGCTGCCCCAACAGTCCAACACCCCCCCCCCAAAAAAAAAAAAAAGCAAAACAGAGACCACCCCATTTCTTGGACAAGGATGTGGGATGACGAGCTGCGGCAAACAAGTTTGTTCCCAAGTGTTTGTTCCCAATACTGAGGGAATCCCTGGGTGGTCCAAGCAAGGGGTTCCCGGAGGCTCCCTAAGGAACCCGACAAAACAGACCGAGGGAACCCTGGGGCTCTCAACGGCCCACCCCCTTGCGCCTGTAAAGGCTCTGGATTGTTCTCCATCCGCACAACTTCTCAACTCGATGTGGTCGCTTTTCAGGGTGCCCGTCGGGGGCCATGGAGGCCTCCGGATGGGCAGAGGGTTGGGGACCTTTGGGTGCTGCAAGCGGCGGGTGGCCAGGCAAAATTCTTGGAAGGTCGAAGACTTGCTGAACACACTTTGCTCCCCTGGTTTTAAAGTACACAACCCGTCATGATATATTTTTGTTCGCCCCTTGTGTCACTCCTTTCAGCTGCAAACTTCGGGGTGGCCTAGCTTTGCAAATTCTGCCCGTTCACCTCTTGGCAACATCACCAGCTGAAGCAAGGAGGTCGCAAATTGTGTGGGGGAAATCAAGCAAGGCCCTTTCCGAACTCCTTTGCAGACCCTTTCTGAACCAGTATCGTTTTGCTTGCTTCTTACGGAATACAGGCATGCCCCTCCCAACCATTGCCTACAAGAACTCAATAGCGGTTGGTAAAGGGTCACTCCCAAATTTCCTACCACCAAGCAAGAGACTCGTCCACTGGTGGTTGGTGCATCGGACTGAGGATAACATCGACAGCAAGACGGCGTGCCAAGCCCGTGTGGATCACGTTCAGCGGATGTTCGAAAAGCCGCCCGGACCGAGCGAGTCAGCAGTGCTGGCTTGACGCCTTGATCCTAGCCCCCGCAAAATATGGGTCCAGAGATGCACTGTTCATTTTTCCCCAACAGCTGAAAGCTTTGGGGTCTCAGCCCAGATAGGCTCCGGGGTGGTCCGGGGCTGCCCTGAGGTAAGGTTCCACGAGGTTCCACGAGGGTTCCACCAGGGTTCCACCAGGTTCTGCAAGGGCTACGGGGCGGGGCGAGCACTAAAAAGAGCACCGCATGCTGTTGGGATGTCACCTGAGGTTTTTTTTTTTTATAATGATAATAAATAAATCAATAAACAAAGCAAGCATTTGTGCTGAAACAAGCCACACTCCACTTTCGAGGGATTTGTTGTGATTGAAGCACTGCGAGGATACCACTCGCCAAGATCATTTTGCAAAGGCGGAACCCATGTTTGAAAGGCCTCCGTATGGCAAGAAAGTACGCATTCGCGGCATCACAGACCTTGGGCAACCATGCACCGTACGCATGTGCCGGAAGTTACCATGCAATCGGAGAAACCTGGACGAGTTGCGAGTTGGAATGGATTCATGACAGGAAGCCTCGCTCGAAGGGCAAGGATGCTTCCGCTGAACTCGGTATTATGTACTAGGGCTGTCTTGAGATTCATTTGGCTGGACCAAAACATACATTACTTAGTTAGACTAGGGCCGGTCTGTGAAGATTGTGAATGCCTGGGTTGCAGACAGATATGGAGGCTCTTTGCATGACCATTATTCTTGAGGTACAGTGGATTGTCGAGATATTTCAAGTACAGTATCCAAGATGGTCACTGAGGTCGAGGAATTCAATGTTTGCAATCAGGGAGGTGATTTGTTGGGCTTAGTAACTTGGTCTGAAATATTGTCAACACACTCATCTCTTTGCATGAATCTACCCTTTGCTTGAGGAAGTACCCTGAGCAGCCCGTCTTGGCGGACCCTCCTTGCGATTTCGACATCAACAAGCCGCTTGGCTTGGGTGGGGGGCCATCTCCAAGTGGTTGCAAAGGTTTGTGGCAAACATCTTGCATTTGAGAGATTCAGCCACCGTGACGGGAGTCAACTGATCCGCACTTAGGTTCCCTTGTTTCGGGATGAGAGACCTGCGGGAAATTTGAGGTCAGTCCCCTAGGTTTGCTTCAGGGCAGGCCCTATGAAGGTTGTGGCACGAAGAGTTTCAAAGCTGCCACTTTCGTGGGTAGGGGGCGTTTCATTTTTGAGGATACCCACTTTGGCGCAGCGGACTCTCAGTAAAAATCCGCCCAGGGAGGCGTCAGCTGGCTGTTTGGGCCGGCTGGTGGACAATTGCTTCTTGGGGGTGGGCCCTCGAAATTTCTGGCGGCTCCCCGAAGATCGCTGGTTGGCCGTTCCTAGGCTCCTTGCTCAGTTTAACATATATGTGCTGGCTCGCATGCTTTCCAGAGACTTCCAACGATCCGCAAAGAACAACCTTCCCCTGCTTTTCTTTTTCCTTTTCAGACCCCATTTGTTTCCTTGCTGCATGGCTCTTCGCTCTTCTCCTGTCTTTTTGCCGCTCCCCATTTACCCATTTTTGCTCTTCTCCCCGCTCTTCCTTCCTCGCAATCCTGCACACCTGGTTCTTGTTGAGGGTACATGGGAAACCACCACCCAACCTCCAAACCAACTGTCCAAAACAATTAAAGGGAAGCTGAATCCTTATTCTTCTGCTCGCTTTCCCTCTTCTTGCAGTTTCTTTCCCCTCATCTTGCTAATGGCAAGCATATGGCTTTACAGAGGCCCATCCCGCTTGTCGCACCGAAGTTCCGAAGGTGAGGCAACTGCAACGACATTTATTCGTGTAGAGGCAACCGTGCAAGTCAATCAGCATTCTGAACACATCCTTGATCCCGGGCGGGCAGGATGACTTACATGATTCTTCCAGCTTCGCAGTGTGATGTCCTGCGCGGTACTGTTTCTCTAGAAATTCTGATGGTTCTTTTTGCGTCGAGCGACCCTACAGAGGTTGCCAGAAGTAGGAAGACTTGGCATCAAGCTGCAGCTAGGAAATCCTTCCCCTTGCCGAGGTTTTATCCCTACTACCCGGCCGGGACCTTTACACGACCAGACTCAGACGCGGCGAACACCGACGCGAGCGACAGCGTGAACAACACGGGCGACAGCGCAGGCGAGGAAGCTGGTGATGACGGCAACTCCACCATTGTGTAGCTGGGTGATGAGGCGCGAGCGGATCCCTTGGTTTGGTCGGTGCGTTTTGAATTTCTAGCTTTGCCATGAAGGCTCTGTGAGGGATTGCTTTTACTGAATTCAGATGGGTATCAAACAAAATGCGCAGGTGGCTCCCCAATCAACTGTAGAACTCTCCCTTTTTATCTGCAACGCTGAGGAGATGGGTATGAACCCCTATGTTCAGTTTCAAAATGCCAAGGCTCTGGAACCCCAGTCCCAATTATGATTGATGTACCTCTCAATCGCTTTTAGTGGCTTTACAGAGCTGGCTTGAAAGGTTTCCTGTCAATTTCCATTGGTTCTTGCAGGAGCAGTGACCATCATAGCCCCAATCACATGAAGGGCAAAAACTCACCTTTAGCCAGAGCAGGTTTGAAATGACATGGGCAATGTAGCCTAAAGCAGGTTTGGTGGTGTTTTGCTGGCAGAATGTGTGTGTGTGTGTATATTTGTGCATGCGCACTTGTGTGCCTGCCTGTCTGCATGCCAGTGTGCCGGCGTGCCTGCCTGCCTTCCTGCGTGCTTACGGGCGTGCATGTGTGCCTATGGGCAGGAAGGTGCGGGCAGGCGCTTTCACACGCGTCCTGGGCGTGTTCGTGCGCATGCATTTGTGCGCGTGCGAGTACACTTGCTTGTGCGTGGGTTTGTTTGCTTACCTGATTGCTTGTTTGCTTGTTTGTCTGTTTGTCTGTTTGTCTGTTTGTCTGTTTGTCTGTCTGTCTGTCTGTCTGTCTGTCTGTCTGTCTGTCTGTCTGTCTGTCTGTCTGTCTGTCTGTTTGTTTGTCTCTCTGTCTCTTTCTTTGTTTGTCTCTCTCTCTCTCTGTCTCTCTCCGTCTCTCTCTCCCTCTGTCTCTGTCTTTCTGTCTTGCTGTCTTTCTGTCTTGCTGTCTTTCTGTCTTCTGTTTTTCTGTCTTGCTGTCTTTCTGTCTTTCTGTCTGTCTGCCTGCCCTTCTGTGTCTGTGTCTGTGTTGGTGTGTGTGTGTGTGTTTATGTGCGCAAGCGCTGATGTTTCTCAAGTCGGGAAAACTCACCCACGTGGGGTCTGTTCTGCGCTCCCTGGCAGGACAAAGCTCCTCTCGCGGCGTCGCGAAGCTTTTCCAGCGGATTCGGACAAGAGGTTCGAGCTGGCTGTCTTACAGGCAGGCACGCCTCCGGAGTGTGTCCTTTTCATGGCCTTCCCGGCAAGGGGGTTCAGACCCCCAACTCATTTTCCCCAGAGGCCGGGAAAAGAGGCTTCGGAGGTCTCCGCCGGCACTGGCACGCAGCATCGCCCCTCAAAAGAAGATGTTTGGCCGTTTGAGGTGCGTTCCCCGATGGCGGCCGTTTGTTCTTGACAAACGTTCGACACGACTTTTGGCCGCTAATTTTGGGGCTGCAGCTTGTCTCAGATTGGCGCGAATTCGGCTAGGTGCATCGCTAGCATGGGATCCGGAGCTTGGTTCTGCAACGCTGGGGCTGTGAATTGAGCCACAAGACTGGATGGTGAACAAGCTTGAAGATTGGGGGCTTTTCTTATTACATATGGCCTTATAGTGATTTTCCATCAGGATATGGACATGCAGACTGCAATATCTGTATAAGTCCTCCAGTTGGTGTGAACAGCAAGAACGCGAACTTGAAATGACCGTGAGACCACAACAGGTTGTTTGCTCGGCTGACTCCAACATGTCGCAGTTGTCTAAG